ATGTGTGTAATTTTTTTTTTTTTTTTTTTTTTTTTTTTTACATTTCCTTCTTAAAATAAGAGAATTAGTTATGCAGCTTTGCTACTTCTACCTTTTTGGATTCTCCCTAACAGTCAATGTTGGTCTAACTGTTTTTCAGTTCTGGAGACTTCAATGAGAGCAAAGTTAAGCCACGACATGGTTTTTGAAAACTGTACCCCACTGTCTTATGGAATCAATGTGGAAGAGAGTCAGTTACCTTAATACTACTTTTATTTTTTCCCTCTCTGTATTTGTACAATACAAAACTTTTCATCTTGGCTACCTATAGCTATATTTTGATACTTGAGCATATAATAAGATTTGTCAGTTGCTTAACTATTTAAACCCAGTTGTTTAACATTCAACATCCGACAAGTGTTGGTAAGATACCCTTGTAATACAATCTGAGCATCTCAAAATGCTTACAAAGGCATTTTATTACTATAGTGATAGGTGGGATTTAGAACCCTAGTGTGAGATTTTCCAAAAACACCTCTTTGTACATTAGGAGCACAAATCCCATTGAAAATATGATCTTCAATCCAAGTCAAAACCTCAGTGGTACTTGTTTTCCTTATCCATAGAACTATGAAGATTCTATCTCTAAATAAGTGTATCCTGGCAAATTTTTATACACTTTTTTTGGAGAAGAGGGAACAGGTAAAACTTAGGAGAAAATGATAGCATGCAAAAGACCAGCATGAGGGTTGAGGTGATGCAGCAACAAGTTTCCTCCTATCACATTCTAGTAGTAGTACTGGAATAAGATAAATATCTTGACCCCATTTATCTGCTTCCCTATTTCTAGTACCTTTGCAGGCTGAAAAAGGCTTGAAAGTCAGGCTTTAGGACACAGACCATAAAACGTGTTTAGGTGTTTCAATAGTTTTGGAGGCAGGTTTCTTCCCCTAAATACAATACAGCATTGGATAAAGCAATATTTTGCATCTGTTTTATATTCCAGATATCCAGCAATTCTGAAGTTCAACTACTGTTCAGCAAGGCACTGGAAGTCTGAGTTTATTAGGAAAAGGTATTATTTATGTTACACTAGCACCCTGTTACTAGATTTGCCCAGCACTTTGGGGTGTACTCATTTATTAGAAGTACACTTCTAGGGTCTCTTGTAATTTTTATCAATGTGCTGCTTGTATTACTTGTGTTTCTATACAGAGCTGTATTTCTCCCTTCTGCAAGTCTTCACCCCCAATGGTGCTATCTTGCAGGACTCAATGTCAATGAGGCTGGGTTCCCCCAACCACCAAATCAGTCAAATGCATATGCACAGATTAACATGACATGCCTGATGCGGCCAGATTGATCAGCATGTACAAGCTAACAACCTCATATGCCAGGAATCAGTTCATCAGGGCAACAATAAAATGCAGTCAGATACAAGCAAACAGGTGAACAGAATACCTCTGAATCAGGCTGGGTGTCCAGCTGACACCCTCATGGGCCAGCATTCAGCTCATTGGGGCATGTCTGAGCCAGACTGGGTCAATCAGTCTATACAAGCTGATTCCCTTATGTGTCTCAAACTCAGCACATCCCAATCTTTTGCCCTAACAGTCCTAGTAGTGGTAGCCTCTTGATAAGCGGACCCCACAGTATTTTGGGGCTTCACAGGGAACTTTGGCTTAGGTAAAAGAAGTGTTGCTGCAAGGCAAATAGGGAAGTAGAGAAGGAAAAATACATCTGGTTACAACCAGTTTGACTATAAAAGTTATTTATTGCTAAGTATATGGATAATAGACATGCAAGGAAAAACAAACAGAGACAATCACAGTATTACCCTGGTTCACTTGAGTATTTAGGGAATAAATAAAATTCAGGTTCAGAAAGCTATGCCTAGAGAGAGAGAGAGCGAGATCTGGGATCTCAGCACTTCAAAGCACTCAGGTGTTTTGTTGACAGGCAAAGTTCCTAGCATGATCGTTGAAGGTTAAACAGGTGATGGAAAGAGATGATCTGTTTATCCCAGCTTCTCGAGAAAAACAGCGGATGGTGTCAGGGAGATTTCTGTCTTCAAACACACTGTTTGCTGCTTTTACAGATTTCTTATACCCTTAGTCCAGCCTCTTCAAAGCATTCTTTTAATTGTGTAAATCAAGAGGGTCCCAAGCCATAACTGACAGGGAAAATCTTGTTATATAAACAGTTTCAATTTAAATGAATTACCTTTTTCAGTGACAAGGGGTTATTTGGTTTGGAACATCTCATGAAACTGATTAACAACCAGGAAAAACATGAAGTTTTAAGGAGTAACCAGACACCTAGGAGCCAGCTTGAAATTATTATGAATATAGAAGATATACTCGAAGGGATACGACATTGTTTCTTCTCAGGTGGCCTAGCTATGCTTGCACTGTGAAGTCAGCATCAGTGTTTTGTATTTTACCTGTTGTGAATAAGCTTCAACTTAGCATGACTTTCAGATCTTACTGTAGTCTTTTAACAGTTAAGGGGATTACTTGGAGTGTTCATAAACTTTGTGGGGAGGACTTCCACCAGTCATCCCAGGAAAAGTATGACAGCATTTGTGGTCAGAGGTCCAACAGGCCGGATACTGTGATGAACCCTGAACCATTATTCAAATGTCGCCCATACCCCCTCTGACTCGGTCTCTTGCCTCAGCTTCCCTAACCCGGCAACCGAGTTTTAGTCAATCAAGCTTAAATAGGCCTCCTATACTAGGACCAGGAAATGTATGCCCTGAGGTGCCTATTAAACTTTTCTTCTGCATAGTTCTGGGTAGATGAGGTGAGTGTGGGGAGGGGAGGGATAGAAAAAGTCCTTTGTAAGTCCAGCAAGCTGGGTGCCAGGGCTCCCTCAGGAACACAGAGCTGACAGGTAATAACCCAGAAGCTCCAGCCAAAACCAGTGAAGGCACTGGTGTTGTTAAGCACTACATAAATATAAAGTAAGAGAAGCCCCTCCTGCCAAGAGCCCATAATTTATATAGATGAGACAAAGTATTGGAAGCAGTAGCTCAGAGGTGAAGTTGCTGTACTAATGCCACAGCACATCAGTAGGAGAGCTGGAAATAAAACCCAGGCTTCGAGTCCTACAATAGTACCCTGTTCACTGGATTAAATTGCTGCTTATCTTTGGATTCTACCATCATGTATCATCCCTTCATATAGAGACCTTTTAAACGCATTGGATGAATCAAAGCACTCTGTCTGGTCTACTGTTGCAGTGCTTCAGTGCGTTCTTGTAGCCTGGTTCTCATAAGACTGTCTCATATGGCTATCAGTTACACAGACTTCCTCCTTTTCCCAAACATACTGTTGATCAGTTTGGCCATTGACTTTGACCCACTCAAACGTCTCTTCTCTTTGACTTTGAAGTTTGTTGTAATGTTTCTCAGGGCTTTTGTGAACATTGTCGTCACCTCCTGATAATGCTCTGCTGCAGACAATTCACAGAACTGGCATTTGTTTTCCATTGCCAGCTTTTGTCCTTCATTCCAGCCAACTTCTCTCATATGACATAGATCCTGTTTATTACCAACAAGGAACACGGGTGACTCTACCACTCTGAAATCAAGGTTAGAGAAAAGCCTTCAAAAATACTGTGTTGTGTCTGGTTTTGTCTATTATGCATGCAAATAAAACACAGATAGACCATAAAACTTTCTCTTAGCTTTATGTTATTCCCCAAAATGACAATTAGATTCTCAAAGTACTTTACAATCAGTTATGGCTCCCAACATCTCTAATAGTGAAATTAATTCTCAGTATTATAGTTGCTTTTTTAGTAAGTCTGAAAAGAAAATTTAAGTAAATAGTTCATGTATTGAACGAAAGAAAATACTGACTCAGGAGCTAAAGCAAGTTTAAGAGAATATTGTTAACTCCTGGGGTGCTTGTACACATGATAAAATAAAATCCTGCCCTATGCCCCCTAAATTGAAACAATGGGTTTTTAATTGAAAAACACCACTTCAATTTTTCCATTATTACGGTGAGGGATCCAATCCTCTTTTTTTTTTTTTTTTGTCGGAGCCAGAGCCTGCCAGCTGCTGGGGGGATGAGCTGCCACTGGGCTAAGTGGTCCCCCAAGTTGTGGGGTGCCCCAGTCCTTCCCTACATGGCAGCAGCACCCCCTAGGGCCAACTGGGTGGGTTGCTAGCAAGCTGGGTGCTACCCCAACTCAGAGGCAGCACCTGGTCTGATCCAACTCTTCCCCAACCCTGAGCTGGGGCAGCACCTGCACTGCTAGCAGCCCACCTGAATGGCTCCAGGGGATGCCACCACTGTAGAGGGAAGGACTTGAGGTGCAGGGAGGGGGCACAGCTCAGGGGCCGCTCGATCCACTGACAGCTCAACCCCTGGCCATAGGAGAGGAAGGCAAGCTTCTCCAAAAAATTAGGGTCAGGCACCTCACTGCTGCCTTCAGCAGGCTCCTGCAGCTGGCAGGACACCTGGGGTTGCCTGGGAATGGGCTGGCTTACCCCTGGGGCAGTGCAAAAAGGCAGCAGGAGGGTGGCTGGGTTTGTTGACAGCCAGAGAAAGCAGCATGGATGGTGCATGGGGTGCTAGAAGCCTAGGCAGGATGCTTGCTAGCCAGATGCTACCCCAGCTCACAGATGCCTGATCCAGTGCTTTTCCAAGTCCATCTGGGCTTCCAGCACCCCATACACTATTCCTGCTACCTTCTCTGGCTGCCAGCACACTCAGCTTGCCCCTAGGGCAGTGTAGGGAGGTGGCAGGAGGGCAGCTGGGTGTGCTGGTGGTGAGGGGCAGTGGTGGGGACAGTGCTCAGGGTGCAGAAAGCCCAGACAGGCTCAGGGAAGCATTGGATTAGGTACCTCTGAGTTAGGGCAGCACCTAGCCAGCTAGCAACCCGCCTGAGTTTCCAGGGCCCCTGCACTGTCCCTGCCACTTTCTCCAGCTGCCAGGAAACCCAGCTGCCCTCCTGTCACCTTCCTACACTGCCCCAGGAGTAAGCCAGCCCATTCCTGGGTGGCTTCAGGTGTCCTGCCAGCTAGAGGAACCTGCTGAAGGCAGAAGCAGTGAGAAGCCTGATCCTTTTTTCTGCAGAACCTGCCCACCTCTCCTGCAGCCAGGAGCAAGCTGACAACTGCATCATTGCAACTTGCAACATTGTAAACTAAACTGCATTGGGATGTAGCTTCCTTTCCAATGTCGCAAACTCATTTTAAACCCCCCACACTCTTGCACATGTACAGTGTGACACCATTAAGCCACACAGTGACATTTTCATCATGTGTACATAGTAATAGCATCACGTGTACAAGCGCACCTGGTTTTCAAATGAAGGAATAAGGTGGACATTGTTTCTTCACCTGTCAAATGTAACTAAATTAAAAAAACAAGCCTAACATCACAATGTCTGAGTATTACTGGAAAATCCAGGAATCTCAGTTCCAAGCCTCTTGCTAAAACAATTCAATCATGAGAAATCTAGTATAAGAAACTACAGCAGGCAGTGTTGATAAGTCACACTTTATTTATACAAGATACTCCTCAGGTTGTGTTTTCCTGGGTCAACTGTACATGCATTGCATGCTAAATATTGGAAATATCACAAGAGACACCTTTCTAAATTAATTAATTAATTCCTACCACATGCTAGTAATCTAGTTAAAACTATTTGCTCTAGGAATCTAATTGAGTTGGTGTTACTTTCATGAACATAGGCTATGATGAATTTCTAGTGCCAGATTGTCCCCCGTTGTGTTATACTAGCATTTTCTTGCTAGATCAGTAGGTACTTGTCACAGCAATGACAGTAGTAATAAGAGAAACTAAGTTTCAGCATCTAATCTTGGTCGGTGAAGTGTTTTTATTTTGTTTTTGTTTTGTTTTGTTTTACTTTTAAATGATGTCTAGTATAAAAGTGTGGTTCACATGTGAAACAAGAATGAAAAACTTGAAGTGCCTTGGATTTGAGTGAAGTGGAATGGATTTCATTTGACTGCTGAATTGATTATTGCTGGGGCGTTTCTATCATGCAGACTTTAATATTAATTGTTGCTAGGATGCCTGAAGCTTGCAGGCAGACTTATCTTTTTGTGGGTTAAAATGAGACATAAGTCACAATCACAATGCCACTTACTTTTTAAAGGCTCCTACAGGAGACTCTCGTATCCTGTACAGCAATGCCTTTGCAAATGCAAATGAAGTTCTGTCACTGATGTCATAAACTATGACAAATCCATCAGCCCAGTGCAGTTCATTGGTGAGGGACAACTTTCCTTTTCGGGGCTGAAAGGTAAGAAAGTGCATATGGTAATGGAAAGACACAGTTATTGTTGTCAGATTCTCTCTGTGAATATGTATTTAAAAATAGATCTGTAAAGTGAAAGTCTTTTACTTTAACAAACCTATGTGCTGTTACAGATTATAATGTACAGGGCTCTGGGATTCCCAAAAGCTCACAAGAGTTTCTGCAGTACAACTAATATATGAATGTCACTGCAGATGACTTTCCTAATGAATATATTAAGTGTTCCAGTGAACTCTGAACACTTCTGGAGGTTCAATTATTAGAAAAGTTTTATGGCTCAACTCTGCTCCACTGACTGTAGAGGAGTCACTCTAAATCTACATCAAAGTGAGTGAGAATGAGATTTTGGCCATAAGTATTTGTTTAGATTCTACAAATATGTTTTCTAGTCATCTTAATATAGTGAATTTGCCAACTGTTATTTGATGAGCTCCTTGTTCCCACCCCATTTCCTCTATATACTTTCTTAGTAGTGTCCAAGTCCATAAGTATTCATCCAAGAGTATAAAGAGGAAAGTCTGTCAAGCTGTAGTTGGCTCTGTCAAGATTGACACAGATTCCCAAATATTAGTGAGGGGGACTTAAGCGTCTTTAGCCCTTTTCTACTGGAAAACTGCTGCTGGATCTGATTTATAGAAATCAGCCTTAAAAACACTACTGTGCTAATGTGGATGGCAAAACTGAGCTAAATAAATAATTTATTTTCAGCATTATTTAAAAAAAAACCCCAAAAAACTCCAGAGCATTGTCTGGCACCAATCAGCCAAATCATACAACATGAGAGGGATTTTAGCTGAATGTCTCCTATGCCGTTTTCAAGCACAAGAAGAGGTCCAGAGTTATTCCCAAACTCAGATCTCAGACAGTCATTTGCTATACTATACAGCAACATTTTTCTTTCTGGAGTAAAAAAATTAAAATGTAGAAAAGAAAATATTTTAATAAATCTTTTATTTTCTTACCCTAACTTTCTCCCTTAACTTCCCTAAAGCCTTGGAAAATAGATTTGCCCTTCAGTAGATAAGAATATACATTTGGGAGGAGGGGAGAGGTGGGCAGCAAGGGACAGTTAGTTAACATCAATGCAGGGTACTGAGTATAGTATAGTGGGAGTGAAAGCCAGGGTAGAAAGGAAAACCTAAATGGAGAAAAGGTAAAGTGGATTCAAAACAGGAAGGCATCAAAGGAAGCCAACACACCACAAATGTGATATTTAAGTAGAAAAGGCTGGTGCCAAATGTGCTGAAGGTAATAAAAAGAAGGTATTTGTGACATAGGTGGGAGGAAGTCCTCTGATGATTTAACTAAATAAATAAGGCCTTCTCCTGTTTGAGCAAAATAGAATGGCCTTTTCACAAGTGCTGAAAGTGCTCTACAGGAAGACAGCAGCAGCGTACCTGATAGTCAGGGCATGTCTATCACGTCAGGATGATATTTGAGAGTTCTGCCCTGAAAACATCCCCCCTGCCATCCTCCCACTTGCCCCCCTCCCTATGTACCCAATGCTGAAAGAAAGGTAAAGTAACCACTTTTTCCCCTATGTCCCAAATAGCTCTTAGGCTTAGGTGTGCTCATGAAAGCATTCAGGCATGCCCAGTATATCCCTAATAGTGACCAAGTTACATTTACTTTGGCCTGTAGTACGTGTCAGACTGGGAGAAAGTGGGCAAGGTATGTTTTCTTGGTGCTGCTCCCTATAATGACCTGTCACAGTATAGGTATAAGGTTAAAAAGGATAGTGTTGTTGCTTTCCATATTAAATAGTTTAAAGATGTCAATCTATGAAGGAACAGAGTAGATGTCATACACAGAAGATATATTTGGCTCCAGATCTTTAGGCCTTAGCCCTCTTACAACTGCATGCACCTGTAAGCTGTGCGGTACCAATTTTGTTACTGAAGCAATTAAATGGAAATAATACAAACTGTACACCCACATTCAGGGGAATATAAAACTGACCTTTTTTTTCTAATTGATTATAGAAATGCTGTGTTTCTCAAACCTAGTAAGACAAGCTGGTTCATTGTTCTGTGGTTCCTACAGTTCAGCAAAATCATTGTCAATGCTGAAGCTAGTGGAAGCCACAATGTACATAATTCTCTAGGTTCCTGATATATTCATCACTGTTTATAGAAAATCCAGTTGACCTATGTCTAACTGAAATGGTAATCAGAGAGGCTCTGACTACTGTAGATTTGCCTTTACTACAACCTTTCACCAGGGTGACTTCACCAATACAATTTTTAGGCAAGTTTCGCTTCTTTGGCAAAGTTTAATTTAGTTGTGTGTGCAGCTCAGATCTTAAAGGATCAAAAATGTTTCTCACCAAGACATGTCCAAGTGAATGAGTTTCTGCTAGTTCTGTTCAAGTTGGGAAGGCACCCACTTTTAGAAAAATGTTACCAAACTTGACATATGAGGGAGCCAAGATATAAGGGACTCCACAATGCTCAGAGGAGCAGAACTTCCCCAAACCATGATGTCCACCTGAATCATGGGCAACAGTTGCATCTCTAGATGTACATGGACTCAAGGAGCCACAGGACACCAAGGCTATTTGTTTAGAGGTCCCATGCCTACTTGCGAGTGGCAGGTTGCTTTTCTCCAGCTCCTGAACAACAGGAAGCCAACAGAGACAAGTTACTGTGGCTTCTCCTGGTTCCCACTGACCTGAGAGAGAAGGCATGCACCTCCACAGCAGCAGCAGAAAAGGTAATGTCAAGCTTTACTAATATCTAGTCTGCAAATATATTAATATTCACTTAGATTCCCTATGGGATTTGAGAAGGGTAGGAGGAAATAGACCTCTCTACCCCTCTCTTTCTTCTGTGTTGTCTGGCTACAGATTCTTGACTCTAGCCCACATACCCTTGATGATATCATTCTGGGTCTGTATAGTAAACAGTAGATTTAGGACAGGGCAAGTCCACAGAGGCACATAATACAGCTGGGAGTGAGTTGGCTCATCTGTGAAGGTGTGCATACCACCCCATCACCAAAATATTATTTTTAGATATTTGTATTAACCATAAGCAGAGAAGAAAAGAATAAAGTGACTACAAATACCCAACTCAGAGGTGTTTTATTCAGTCAGAATAAAGCCCAATAAAAGGGATGCCTGTATTATCAGTATCCTCAGATCTGATCTGCAATAATAAGGCGTCAGTTATCAGAAACCACCCATTGACTATTTCAATTTGAAAAATAAACAATATATTAACCCTTCAGTAGAGACTTGGGGACACTATACAAACTCATGTAATTAATTTTGCTCCTCTATAGTAAACAAAACACCTCATACTGAATTTTACTTTATAATTTGCCAGTTTGAGTTCCCATTCATATAATATGCCAAAATACTAACACGCTGACAAGAAAATACAATGGAGGGTGCATTCTCTTAAGCTGGACAGTGCTCTGAACAGTGTTCTGGTAGCTACACATCCATTATTAGAGGAATTTCTGCATCCCATTTCCATTACTAATGGTGAGTTACATTTTCTCAGCCACTCCACTCCTCAAGAAATAACTGTTAAGAATCACTTGGCTCTGTTATGTTTACCTGTGAACAAGGGTCATAAATTTCCAGATGTGTTTGTCTCCCATCCAGACACAGGTGTTTAGTATAGATGCATTCTACAAAACACACGGCATAAAATGAGCATCAGCGTGATCAAGCACAGCAAAAACCAGGGTTGAAACCATTGTGGTATCAGTGGAGAACCATAAGATTTGCAATACTGGTGTAACCTGCAGGTCCAACAAACCACTGGTAGCACTTGAATTTTTACTGAGACCTAAACCCACACCACTGTTATGCACCTAGTGAATTATCCAATCTTTAATGGTGTCCCTTGGCTAATGGCTGGCCAGGCTCCATTCCACTGTAGTACTCCAGTCAGTGTTCTGATGTGCAAGAATGTTTGTACAACATAGTACTTGTCTTTTGGAATAGGAAGCGGGAAAGAGGATGCACAGCTAGTGTTTCTGAATTATACATATTATGGAATTTTCCAAAGTCCTTTCATAAATACTCTAAATTTTTTAGGGGATCTGACATCATAACTGTCGATTTGATGGGAGCAGGTGCCGATTGTGAGTGAATGGAAGAGGAAAAGTACATTTGAAAAATTAAATGCTGATATTCCTTTTATCTTTGTTTCAGGTTGTACAGCACATATGAGAAACCAAATACAAAGTTTATATATATTTTAATCCAGGTTAATTATATGTAGTATTACACATTGTGTTGATATGAGCTTCTGTCACACAAACCATATTGCTTTGTACTTATAAAGTCAAGTATTGTACCAGTCTGTGCTTCAGTGCTTATCTCACAGATACAATATTTTCTCACATATAATACACCCCGGGAATAATATATTCATGTTGTTTTTTCAAAGGCATAATGAAGAAAGAAAGAACTTTCCTTGTAGTAACTGAGTAGTAGTAGCAAGAGAGCTAAGCCTGCTCATTGTTCTGCTCCCTGTGGACCACACACAGACTTTACTTTTGCTTTAACCTGGCTGAACCTTAAGCAACAGGAACTGCTATTACCGTATTTCTTCTCATATATTGTGCACTCAAGTTCCCAGCAGCTGGGTTTTCGGGGAAAAGGTGTGTTATATACAATAAAATATGATACTTACTATTAGGTGCAATGCTTACACCCTGAGCCTTGTATTTGTACAGTAGTTGGTACTCGATCTAGTGCTGAACCAGTGTTACCACCAATGTTAAAAGCATTAAAATTTCCATGGCTAAAAGGAGCCTAGGTGAGACTAAGGGTGCCTATTCACAAGCAGGGAGGCTGCTCTGATGTACTAATTCCAATGCATCAGAGCAGAATCAATTAATCAAGTCTGCTGGACCATGACAACTACTGTACTCCAGCAGCCTCCTGCATCTTGTATATCACATCCCCATGCTTCAAAATGGTGGCGGGGTGCTTTATATAGAACTCATTCAACAAGTTTTAGATGAAGTGCCCCCCGCCTCTGTTTTTGAAGAGCAGAGGTGCTAATACAAAAGATACTCCAAGTGTTTTAATTAGAGTGGCTCTCGGAGCTAATCTAATAAAAGCAACCCCTCCCCCCCACCAATGTACACATTCCAGAGAATGTGTGTAAATGACCTAAATCTCCATGGCCTAACTAGTCCTCAGGAAGAGCTGCAGCCTCACATGCCATGTCTTAAGTAGTTTACATTTCATCACTTCAAGACCCTTGGCTGAGTATTTAGGTTGGCAAACTACAAAAATCAAACCCGTACCCCTATCAAAACTTTAATTAATTAAAAAATATTATAGGAACACAAAAGTTTCAAAACTTATCCTCTTTTTGATTCCAATAAAATATTGTGGGCTGTTTTGTTGATTTAGTATTGTAATCTCATTAGTTGCCATAAAGGGGGCCAACAATTATTTTCAAGCAATATTTGCACAGGGCGAGCTTCTGTTTACAAATACACAAGGCTTTTAAAATGTAAATGTCCCTTGAAAAACATTCTATAGTTCCTGTGCAAAAAAAAATATGATCTGGTTTTAGAAGACTGTATGCTCTGCAGTCTGTGCTTGCACAGTATGCAAGTCCTCGTCCATCACTGGAGTGCTACTGTAATAGAAAAAAGTCAGTGGAACTGGGTAAGTATTCGTTCACTGTGTCTCTCAAAATCTCCCTCCTAATGCATGCTGTTTTCTCAAAGTCTTCAATAAGAACTTTGGAGAAGACATAAGTCACTTAAGGCCACTTACTCATTTTCCTTTAGAGTGCTCTTTGGAACAAGAGGTCTGCTAATAGGGTCTACAAAAAAATGGCAGTGGATAAGAAGCCTTTGTCTCATCCAATGAAATGTTAAGATCAAAAAAAAAAGAAATCCAATCCATGTCAGGATGACACAGACATTTCAAAGCTCTTTCAGGAAAAGCAGAGGCAGACCTCACAACAGCCCAGTAATTAGAAGTACTTCTTGAGATGGAACTGGCCCAGCTTCAACTCCTTGTATTGTCCATTAGCGCTGTACAAAACAGCACTGTTCCATTTTGCCTTGAGTTTCAAGGTTTCAAAGGAACAGTGTTTCGTATCGAATTTCATTTCGATTTGAAACAGCTGTTCTGTTTTGCTTTGTCAAAACAGTGAGGCTATTTCAACTGTTTCAGTGTTTTGCTATATCCTGGCTGGACTGGCTCCCCATCCCCAGTGCTGGATCAGATGGGGGTGGGGAGTCAGCCCAGCTGGATCAGGCTTACTTCCATCCCCAGCACTATGGTCAAAAAGTTTCGACTTTCGAAATGTTTTGACTAGCCTCATTTTGTTTCAAGGCTGTTTTGAAGTCCTTTGTTTTGTTTTGATTTTGCTGTTTCAACTCGAAATGAGTTGAAACTGCGTTGAAGTGAAATGGCCAGTGAAATTTCGCACAGCCCTACTGTCTATTTCCTTACATTACAGAAGAGCATCCTGATGATCAAGCTATTCTGTACCCTAGCTTGGCTGTTTCTCTGGTTTAACCAGGAACTATGTCTTAATGAAAGTCCCATCAACAGTAGTGAACTTCAAAAATGTTGGGTTCAATTAATCAATGTTTTCTGATGAAAGATTATATTGAAAGCTCCAGACCAAAACCATAGAGAAGGCAGAACCAAATTACTTGAAGAAAGTAAATTGTCTTTCTTTGACTGAAGCGTACAGCAACCTATCCAGCACTTTTGATCAAGTTAACTTTCTTTAACTCTGTCTTTTTTTTAACTCTATTTCATTGCTACATTAGTTGGCCTACCTGTTCTATACATGTTTTACAAAACTGTAAATATTGTCTTCTACTCTTTGCTCTTGTGTTTCTATCTAAAACCAACAAAAAAGACTTGACAAATTTAAACCATTATTTTTAAAAGAGTGTTGAACCTTGTTTTCCATTTTCAAGACACTTTTTGGTCCAGTAAAGAAGCTTTTACTAATACTTCAAGAAAGTATTTCCTCATCCTCTGTTGCTCTGTTCAACACACTTAGAATTACAGAAAATTAGGGTTGGAAGGGACCTCAGGAGGTCTCTAGTCCAACTCTGTGCTCAAAGCAGGACCATCCCCAACTAGATCATCCCAGCCAAGGATTTATCTAGTCAGGTCTTAAAAGTCTCCAAGAATAGAGATTCCACCACATCTCTGGGTAACCTGTTACAGTGTTTTACTACCCTCCTCCTGAGAAAGTTCTTCTTAATATCCAACCTAAACTTCCCATGCTGCACCTTGAAACCATTGCTACTTGTCCTGTCATCTGCCACCACCTTAACTTGTAGAACAGAACCATTCCATTAGTAGGAAACACTCTCCTAGCAAACTCCTGGCCTATTTCTTCACAAGTCACAGCAAATTCAAAGTCATCCTGTGTGCTTCTGTAGCTTGGTCAGGGGTTGGAGGGGAGACAAGTGCCAGAGCATGGAAAGAGACCAGAGGTGAGGGTTGAAGGTGAGCTTACCAGAATTGGAAGCGTATTCCCCAATGAAGCGCCGGGTGAGGAACCTCACGGTCAGAGCTGTAATATAACAGACCCCAGCTTTAAATTGGAGCACACATCCGGGTGCCTGACCTCCACACTCCTTGGAATCACAGGGAAGTAGGGCTGGAAGGAACCTCCCCAGGTCTTTCAGCCCAGCCCCCTGCTTCAGGCAGGAGCATCCCTGACTAAAACAGCCCAACTAAGTGCCTGACTTCTTGATTATTGGTTTGTAGCCATGTTGGTCTAAGGACATAGGTTCTTTGGGTAAATACAATTTCTTTTATTAGACCAACTAAATAGTTGGAAAAACTGTTCTTTGCAAGCTTTGGGGTACAAACACCCTTCTTCAGGCATTGGAGAGAGTCTGCTGTTTGTTTGGGTGCTCTCCTACCTGTGGAAAGCTTGTGAAGAAGTTTTCCAACTATTGGAGTTGGTCTAATAAACAATAATCAAATTTACCCAAGAACCTTATCTGCCCGTGTCCTTAGACCAATGTGACTACAACCTACACTCCTGCCTGCCAGCCATCTGAGACCCCCAGGTAGCCCGTCTTCAGTTTACTGGCTGCATTATTTCACCAGGTCAGCATCTCTGTGTCCCTTCCTCCCCTGTTGTCTACCACTTCAGCAACCCTTGGCTGAGTATTTAGGCTGGCAAACGAGAAAAATCAACCCTTCGCCCCTATCAAAATGTATGGGGTATTTTATTTATAAAAACATAATAGGAACAGACAGGTTTTGAAAAGCATCTTCTGTTTGACTCCAGTAAAAAGTCGTGGGCAGTCTTATTGATTTAGTATTGTAAATCCCATTAGCTGCCCAACCAGTGGGACAACAATTGTTTGCATTTGCGTTTTCACAGACCTGCATTTTTGCTTCAGGGCTTCCAGGAGCGCAGCCAGCCCCACAGCAGCTCTCCCCAAAGCCTGAAGAAGGCTGCTTGTGCCTGAACTCCGGCAAAGACCCATCCCCCCAGTTATTTAGGTAATAAAACATACCATATTTCCCCGAAAAGCCTGCTCTCACTTGGAGAGAGGTGACGGGAGAGGGCTGGAAGCCCAAGCGGGCGCTGAGCCGCGGGCCGATGCCTGCCTCTGCCAGGACCCCGGC